AAGCCCTTGCAAAAGGATAGGGCGGCGTATTGTCAGCTAGGCAACCATCCATGTCAGAGGAGATTTTATGTATAAAGGATTTAGAGGAAGGATATGGATAGATTTAGTGGTTGGATTTGGGGGAGTAGCAGGGTGCGGGGTGTTTGGGGCACCAGCGGACGTGTGGAAGAAAATAGTGATGACGAAATTAGACATACCGATGATTTTCCGGTGGGTTGACAATAACCTCATTTTTCGGAGACCTGGTCAGAATGTTAAATTGCAAGATGTAGTGGACTTGAGCAGAAGGATGGGAGTAAAAACTAATCCGAAGAAGAGTTTCGACTTCGAAGATGAACAAAAGTTTCTGGGCTTTATCTGGAATGGTAAGAAACTCACGGTTAGATTACCAAAGGATAAGATAGATCAGAGGTTGAACCAGGTGGTGGAATTCCTTACGACAGAAGAGCCGTGGAGTTTGTCAAGAGTCGATACGCTGGTCGGAAGGCTAGGTCATACAATGAATGTGGTACCACATATGGTGGCGTTCCTTTGTGCAATGTACCGGATGTTGAAGAGTTGGCATAATCCAGGGGCGAAGAGATTCCCGAATGAATCGGTGAAGGCAGACTTACGGGAGTGGAAGATATGTCTTGAGACATTTGAAGCATGTACGCTGATGCCAAGCCCGGTCCCGGAGGAGGTGGGATGGGTCAGAGACGCATCCACGTCGTTTGGGTAAGTCAATGAAGCGATTCTGAGAGGATAAGGCCTGACGTGTTTTGGGTTGAGTTTAGGATAGGAGTGCAAGTCGGTGCAAATTGGGTGTGTTTCGGTTGGAAAGAAGATTGGTTGAGAGAAGGATTGGTCTCCGGCAAACGCAATATTGCGTGGGCGGAGACAGTTACGATTAGGCTTGGTCTGTTGGTGTTGGCGAAATCCTTGCCGGTAAGGGGTCAAACTTTCTGGGTAGAGACGGATAACACAACAACTGAGAACGCGATAAGGAAGAGAAAGTCAAAAGATGTGAGAGTAAATGAAGAATGGAAGTTGATACAAAGACTACTTACAGTCTTAGGATGTAACATGAAGCAGAGACGTGTTACGTTGAAGAATAATTTGGCAGACAAGCTGTCGAGAGGGATTTTTAGCGGGAGAGAGTGGATGGACAAAGTGATTGTAGATATCCCAGAGGACTTGAGTCCCTTGTTGTCGCAGAGATCCCGTCCACTTGAAATAAACCCCACTTAATTACTCGCTTCACTAACGCTTCATCGAATTGAAAGAGTTGTCCCAACATTTGATGACTAAGAGATCCAAGCCGAGAGACGGAGAGAAGACGTCGCTAGATGTCAGACAGGAGAAGAATTTGTCGAAGGCGACGAAGCCGTTCGGAACCTTCAAGAGAAACGCTATAGGAGAGGATAAGTCAGAGGTAGATGAGGTGCAACTTCATTTCTTGAGAGGATCTTGGGCGGATGGAACTTTAAAGCATTATAATTTGGGGGTGATAAAGTTGTTGCGATTTGCAGATGTGAAGGGAGTAAACAGGGAACGGTTGTTACCGATATCAGAAGATCTAATAGTCAACTTTGTAGTGTGGGGTTCCAAGAAAGGAGAAGAGTGGGCGGAAAAGGACGAATCAGTAAAGTCGTTGACTCTGAAGTCATATTTGGCAGGAATAAAAGCGTGGCACACCTTTCACCGATGCGCATACCCACACGAGTCAGAAGGGACGGTGACGAAATTGTTGAAAGCTTCAAGGATGGTAGAGTTGAAGTATCAGGAGATAGAGAAAAGACGACCACCAGTTATGATATCAGACTTGGTAGTGTTAGCGGAGAATACGGTGATGACAAATGAGCAGTCAATAGTGGCGACCACGATAGCTTTGGTAGCGTTCTGGGGAACGGCACGCTTGGGGGAGTTGGTGTCGAATGATCCAAAGAAGGAGTTGTCGAGATGGGAAGATGTGGAGTGGGGACCGAACGGATCTTATGCGAGAATAGCGATTCATGGGGCGAAGACGGCGAAGCCGGGGGAGCTACAATATATACACCTACAAAATCAGAAATTGTGTTTAGATCCGGTGAGAGCATTGAGGTTTTTGTACGAGTTCAGACCGAGGGAACCTACGGACTTGGTGTTTGCGGTAGACTTTAGCCAGGAAGAAAGAGATAAGGGGATGGTGTATAGGAAGTCAGCATTGATTGAAAAGTATAGGAAGGTTTGGAATGAGCATCGGTCGAAAGGAAAACAGATGTTATATGGTCACTCGTTTAGAATTGGTGGAGCTTCTCTGAGATGGAACTTAGGGGCATCAAGAGAAGAGGTGAAATCAAGTGGGAGATGGGCCTCGGAGGCGTATAAAATCTACTTGAGGAAGTTCGACCATAAAGAACTCAAGGAGACAGTGAGGCTACTGAAGAAACTCAGACTGGAATGAGTTGGGGAAGGAAATCTAGAGTAGGTGAGTCTATTGGAGTACGAGGGTGTGAAGTACGCTGTGAAGCTGACGGAGTTTGGATTAACCAAATTAAGGTTTGATCGGCAATAGAATCGCTCGTTGAAGGGAACTAGAGCGATGATAGGGAGCAAAGATTGGGGAGGACGCCAATCAGGTGAGGTAATACATGGAATTGAACAACCATCGTGTAGAATTGGGTTGTACATATTAAAATGAAGTGAATACAAGAGTAGGAGTGAACTCTATTTCAGGGTGCGATAGAAGGTAAATGAGGGTCTACGAGGGAGATAGAATGGTGATCGAGAATGAGTGCTTCTCACGTGAGTTGAGTCAGGGGGTTTCGACTTCTCAGGCTCACGGCTCCGACCTCCCGTGAGAGGTGGGGTAGAGAAGTCATACCTTCTCGGCGCTGTTCTCGTCCCAAAGGGGGAAAAGAAGGGGAGTTGGGAATAACAACTCCCTCAGTTCTTCACCCTTTTGGGACCATCCCCAAACCACACAAGTGTAGGATGCTATGTCCTGGTGAAGGAAGCAGTCTATGCGTGGTTGGACAGACCTAGAAGGGATAAGACGCTTTAGGATGTAAGAGTATCCCAGAAGGATAGTACATGGTAAAGAGCAATAAGATTGATAATAAATAATGAGCTTGTAACCAGTCAGATTATAGAATGGAAATAAAAATTACCAAATATGCCTTTCCGAAGTTCAAGATTTTTGTTAAGTCAGCCAATATTCAAAATCTGATTCAAGTCATGACAATGAGCTTTTACATTTGTTGAACTGGCTATCTTGATCATACCATTTTCTTCAGCAACGAACAAACTGATCCTTGAGGCTCAACAAAGATTGATTGACCTCAATAACTGAGGTTGTATGAGGAAGGTTGAAAAGTGTGAAGTCTAGAGAAAGACCTATGTTGTGTGGCCCTCCTTGATCTTCCTCGTGCGACTCGAGACAGCTTGTCTCTTGTCAAACATCACGAAGTTTTGCCGAAGTGGTAAAACGACACCAAACCATTTCATGTTCATGTCCATTTGATTTTGATTTTGATTCGAAGCGCCTGTTGAATGCTAATGTTGACATGATCCATTCTTTGAGCTCGAGGACATCGTTAGGAGTTACAAATTTGAATCACGTAGCTTGATAAATATTTCGAATAATCGCACCGACAGAACGTTGCTCGTGGGTACAGCTGGTATTTCCATTGCTGATTTGTGGAGTCTTTGGAGAAGAATTGGAAAAGAAATAAAATAGGCTCTTTCAAATTACAAGTGGTTTTTGAATGAAAGTCAACTTCAATATCGCGAAGTGGCGAAGTTTGTTTTCATATTGGGAGTAAATAAATTCTATCAGTGCACCATCATCTAGAGCTCAAGGAGAATATTTCATCTATAACTTGACATGTGCGATCTTGAGGCTCAGAGCGTTGATAAAGACGCAGCGAGCCAGCCTCGAATTCATGGGGTTTAGATATGGGTTGAGATAGGTTAGGTTTTAGGCTTCGGAACAATTTCGAAGACATGCAATTTCAATCTTTGGACCAAATTCTGACATCGATCAAGATTTAGAAAAAATACCAGACCACGACAAAGTTTTGACTCATATCTCATTTCCAAATCAACCTGAACAATTAAGATGGTAAAGGTGAGCATTAGGTTTCTCCAACTGTAGCTTATACTCAAATGAATGATACTAATTGCATTTATGTTTTTTTTGAAGATCGAAGAACTCAAGTTAGAAGACAGTGATGATGGATTTGTGACCGAGAGTGACAACTCATCAGATTCAGATTCATCCGAAATAGCTATACGACAAAAACGAGAATCAGATGATGAAGATGATGAAGATATTGATGAATTAGATGAAGGGATTTCAATTGAAGATGAGACAATCATAGATAGAATTTATGCATTAAAGGATATCATTTCACCTTCAAGTCGTACCACTATTTGTGAAAGCTGGAACAAGTTATCAAATTCAACTAAATCAACTACTAGATTTTTGGGAAACGTTGCTTGGGTGATCACTACTAGTATGATTCTTGTTGGTTTACCGATGGCTTTGTCAATCGAGGGTGAAAGTATGTTAGTAGCTCATGAGAAGGAGATGGAACGTCAGGCTCATGGTCAACAGGTTAGTGCACGATTCCTGCAGGATCCTCAGTTTCATCAGTATCTGACCATTTGAATTTACATCTCAACCTTCAGTCAATCTTGGGTGCCCCAGCCGGTGGCTCAGGATCCCCATTGACTTCTGATCAACCTCGGACAGGTGTTACCCCAACAGGGTTTTAATACGATTTTATACCTGACGAGTTTTTGAATGTGTTGTTTGTTTCATGATCTTTCCTTTTTTTGTATCCCTTCTCAAATTCTAGAACTGCAAACTTATTAAGCTGCTTTCGTACGTTGGTTCAAAATTGAACCTGTTACATCACTCTGATAGGCATGGCTGATATATCAAACACAAAATTTGTACCTAAAGACTTGAATCCATAACATTGGGTACCATATTCATGATTGCCATCATCATTGCAACTCACACAGGCTTACAAAGAGTATCAAACTTAACTGGTACACTCCATTCCCAACATATACTCACTGATCTGGGTGACAATGGTGATACAGATCACATCGATGACTATTGTATTGAAGTCTTGCGAAGACACTAGCGGATACTTGATATGTAAGATGAGTCTGACAAACCTACACCAATATTGGTATTAAAAATAACGATGATCTGAGAGAATAGAGATATAAACGCATGATGTCGAGATAGAATTGTAAAAGCAAAAAATAAGATTAGTGAGAATGAAAGTGGGAGAAGACAAATATAGTAGCAACCGTACCTCAGTGCGCTTTGCCAAGACGAGAAAAAAGCAGCCATAGGGGCAAAAGTATCATAACAGCTATACGAAATCTCAAAAATGACTAGAATCAACCTCGATCCACGATTTCCCCTATCCCTTCAGGTGCTAGCACACCCAGCCCCTTTGATTAGAGAAAGCGATTGTATACTCTTCGATCTATTGTAACCGAAAATTGATTTCTGTGTGACCACCCCTTGTCGATCTCCAAATCAATCAAGTACCGGAGAAGTTTTCGAACAGTGCACGTTTACCAAAACATTATATACTTTTGATTTCTACAAAGACCGGCGGCGTAAATGGCATATAATTTACACTGCAGGGACTTCACTCGAGACCAAAGCTTGTGTTGGGATTTCTGCGGGTTGGCTGGTGGATATGGTAGAGTTTTGTGAGGAAGAGGATTCTTGTTGACTTTTCCAGGTTCCAAATTGAAAAACATGAAAAGTCAGAAAAGATTTGAATGCGTTCATCATCAGGATACTGAATGGAATACTGCTTACAAGATGTCTGGTTTGTCTTTTAGTGACATGATTGGGGTGCAGGCAAGGTAAATCTTCATGTAAGGTGTATGGGTTTGGCGAGGTCTGTGATTGGCGGTGAATTCAGTTTCTAACAAAAAGCATCATCGGGATAGAGGCTGTGAAAGTTGCACTGAGCTCACCTTTTTCGCTCTTCGTCCAAAAACTCTTTGATGATCAAATCATGACGTTCAGAGATTTTACCTGGATCCGAGCAAGGGTTTTCAAGCTGATAACTTTCGAGTGAGCCGTATTGATTATATTGATACAAATAATTTCTTGAAGGGTGACTTTTGTCAATCGTTGTACCTGATGATTGATTTATCATCTCGGCTATGTATTCTCGTTTGATTATTTCTACAATACTGATCAACTTTCCAACACTGTTGTACATAGGATTTTTCTTTGAGCTTGATATCACTTTTTCTATCGTCTTGTAATTAGAAGGTATCGTATGGAGGCATAACGGAGCGCTCTCGACTTGCTGATCAAGATGGATGGAAGCAAGGTCAGTTGAAAAAGTTTGATTGATAGGGCATGGAAGGTGGGTAAAACAAATGATAACATACCTTGAGATGATTTATTGCTTTTGCAACGCAGGTTGAGATCTTGGTGTTTGGCGTGATTTGAAGACAATGAAATCCATCTTGAGTCTCATTCAAGGTAATCGGTGCATCCATCATGCGTTTGAGGAAGGTTACAAACTATCCACTGGTCCAAACTTCAAAGAAACAAAAGATGTTAAAAGATGTTACTTGAGTGACAGGTGCTCGGTACAGGGCACCTGTCACATATACACCTTTCCACTCAACAACAGCCATCCCTATTCCCTCCCGATCAGCCATGACATCGGAGTTCGGCATCACCATGTCCTACCAATGAGGGAGCGTAACCGTATCGGTCTTCCTCTGAGACTATCTCGCTCTGAGACTATCTCTGAGACTATCCAAAATTTAGAAAAATAATGTGGCTTGTTGTACACTTAACGCACAGGTTGGTGGCCGCTCGTAGGACTGTATGGTTCATACGTACAGTGTATTATAAATCCATTCCTATGGCTCGGTCTTGTCACACCGCATGCAATGTCGTGTCGCATTCGGGGCTGCGACACGCTGTCGCTGCCTCGGGGAATACACATGCCCCGTGTGCGACAAGCCAAATTTGGCTGCAACAACACACGGTGACCTGCGACATCCACGCCGTGCACCGGTCAAGTGCGACATCAGAAAATACACATGCGACAACTCAGCGTCTGAATACGACATACCACCCAATCAACTGCGACGAATCAACCCTCGGCTGACGACAACGGCTTACTTTCTTCCCTTCTTCCAACATACTGATTCCGATCCTTCAGCCTTAGCTATGGCTTTCATCAGTTGGGAGTCCTGAAAATGTTTCAAAAATGTATGTCAAATCGTTATTCAAGCTCTGCGAATCGTAAATCATTGACTCAATGTTGGAACTATTGTTTTCATTCATCTTAGCTTTGGCATATTCTAGATGTTATCAAATGATCTCCTGCTGAGGATTCTGGTAAATGATTCATATCCATTTGAAAGTAAAAATGAACAGTAGACCTATCATTGATTAAATGTGTTCTTTATTAGGTTTGGTACCTTTTAGCGAGTGGACTATCGGTGATGCTAGTGATACCTTGAGATGAGAGAGTGATTTCTATAAAGCTGTAGAAGAGGTAAGAAGGCTCTTGTTTGATTGGTTTACAATTGAAATCATTCCTGATAACTTCCTTTTTGTTCTGCACATACATGTGTTTATCTTTTTCAATAGAATGAAACAAGACCACTTCGAATGTTTGTTTGTTATAATGCTGATTATGAGGTCACCCATGAAGTGGTCATAATCCCAATCGTAAGGATAACTTTCTTTTCTAAATCTAAGACTTGGACAAACACAATTGACAAAAACTGATTATTGATTTACCTTCAATGAACATGACCCGTATTTCATATTAGCGATTGTGATTAGGGGTCCATTTATCAGGATGTTAAATGACATTTGCATTATTATATTGAATTCAAGAACAACAGCTTCAACTACTGCAACATCTTCATTGATTCCCAACACGGAAGAAAGTAATAATTCAACTAATATGAATCATCATTATTCAAATCACATTATGGAAGAAGATGAATATGAAAGAACCTCATCAAAGTGAATCAATAGAACTTCATCAAAGTGAATCAATAGAACTTCATCAAAGTGAATCAATAGACCTTCATCAAATAACTTTTTATCACCTATACCACTTATTAATGAAAGATATACTCTCAATTCTCCCATCCGAGATTTATCTTATTCTAATTTTAATTCTCCATCAATCCGATTTGAATCTGATTTCATATTTCTTTTTGTTTTGTAGTGATTTTGATGTGATTTGTTTTTATAAACAGAGAGTTTGGAGATAGTTTCTTTCCAACAAACCTTTATTCTTTAAGAATATGAGATCTTCATTTTTCAAAACCTGGATCTATTCTTTTCATAAATATAAAACAATTTCTATTTTGTTTTGAAAAGTGTTTGTGAGATGATTATGCCGGAGTGTGCTCTTGTTGCATTGTCTTTTCATGTGATTCAAAGGCTTTTTAGTCTCACTTGTACATAAAAAATGATTTCACATGATTCCAAAGAACGGTCTTCCATCTTCTCTTGTGCAAAACAAAACAAAACAGTTGGTCTTTTTCTGATTGGATACAAGGATTTGACAATTAGTAGCGAAGATTGATTGTGGTGCAAAACGAAGTCGAGGAAATCTTTTGACAAGTTGAAGTTTTGAACTTGATGAAGTTCATGATGATCATGGATGATCATGTGAAGCAAATCACCGACAATCGCATATGATTCCATGCATCCAGCTCTAGGTCGTCTTCAATTGAACACAGCGCGTGCAATAAATCACATCATCATAAACTCATAGCTTGATCGAGAAGTTCATCACCTATGTATAGATCTTTTCAAGAAATCAAAATCACGATGAAAATTCATCTTTTACTTGATCTGTTGGATACCTACTGACAGATTCAAGATTCGCTCTTGTAGCTCCTATAGAGACCATAGGATCAGTCCGTGCTACACCTTCAACTATAAAAAGAGTTTAAAATCGATTTGCAATGGTAAAACTGGCTTGGTCAATGACGGAACCAGGGATCTTGATCATGTCGAGGGTTGATTTGTTGGAGTCGAAAGGTGATAATGTCGCATTCAGACGCTGAGTTGTCGCATGTGTATTTTCTGATGTCGCACTTGGCCGGTGCGCGGCGTGGATGTCGCAGGTCACCGTGTGTTGTCGCAGCCAAATTTGGACTGTCGCACACGGGGCATGAGTATGCCCCGGGGCAGCGACAGCGTGTCGCAGCCCCGAATGCGACACGACATTGCATGCGGTGTCAGGTCTTGTCCAACTCCTTGGAACAAAGATGATTCCACCCGTAAAATTTTTCATTACAAAAATGACCATGTCGATTTTGAGAACAAATGAATACAAACCAATGAGATCAAAAAAGAAATCAAAATCAAAGATATTTCAGGATAACTGAAGTTAGGAAATTATTATAAAGGGGCCAAGAGATTCCTACTTGGTTTGTATTTCAATCCGTGATTGAGATCTTAAAAGAAGGTTATACTCCCAGAAATAAACATGGATTTGTTCGTAAGTGAAATTTGATTAATATTGATAACTTGCAAAAATGAAATCAAACTTCAATGTGAAGATGGTCAAAAAAATCAGTCGTCTGGATAAGCCTTACACCGTAGATGGCTTCAAGCATACCTACGCCGATGAGGGTGACGTATGTAGTGAGCCGCATCATCCTCTTGTTTATTGTTTGTTCCGATCGATCCTATCGAATACGCAGGTCTGATAAAAACCCAAATCGAAGCTATCACCTTCTACGACGCACACGCAGTCAGATCTGACTTGAGGCATTAGTGAATCAAGTTGTATAAGTGTTCCGCATCACTTCAAAGTCTGATGCGATTGAAACTGATGAATTTGACTGATTCACCATAGTATAGTATGGTTGAAAACCAAGATAATCATCATGTTATCGCTTCTGAACGGCCGATTCAAAAAGGGTAGATTGATGATCACCTTATCATTTCTGGACGGCCGCCTAAGTGTCCAATCATTGGACCGTAGTAGATCTAACAAGCGGCTCTTACATGAACCTACACAGACATGGATCCATTGCTCATTTGAAGCAATCCAGAGCAAATTTCTTGGGTCCATCACTTGCACAAAAGACGTTCGTACAGGCTTGGGTAGGTCCAAGAAGGTCAGAGAGAAAAAAGAAACGCCCCTCTTACAAATCAGGCGCCACCCGAGAAAAAAATTATACTATCCCTGTATGTCTCAGAGATCCTCTCAGGTAGTCTCAGAGGAAGACTGATACCGCAACTCTCCGACCAATGACTATGTCTCTTTCTCCTAGGCTGTGACGTACGCAATCAAAGAAAGGTCCAAACCACACCACCGGCGAGGTCACATTTCAATCCAGTGGGTATCACCGAGAAGGCACACGGCACAGCTCCTAACTTAACCCTGCCATTCATGCACCCAACAAGGAAATCCGTATCATATCGAGCATGGTCGTTGAATGAGGGGTGTCAGCATGCATTGAGGGACTTTGCCAAAGCCTGGCACAGCCCATTTCTAGAATTGGACACTTCAAAATGCCATTCAACCTTATTCACCCTGCTCTAATTTGACGTTTGAGGAGCACCATGAAAAAAAGCAGCGTGAAATCATATCTTAGTGACCTAAAGTATGCGGTCAGTGCAGCGCACGATCCATCCCACCGCAGTTAAGATCCCCATGAGTGATCCTTCATGAACTAGACCCACGCATAGAAATTTCATTTCCTCCTTGTATTCGTACCAAGTCCTCATCAGGTTGGTCTGTATATTTCATCTCACAAGCACATACCAAACCAATTGGGCAACGATATAATATCAGGTGCTTGCGCGTTTCTATGTCACCTTGACGCGAAAATTCGTTATAACATCAACAAGTTTGCTTGAAGTTGACATCGTGATTGAGATATTCTGCCTTCTAACATAGCTTTGAACAACTGGCATTAAACCCATCCGACTCCGCAATACGAACCGGACGAGTTTCCTTTGTCCAAAATGAATCTCTTAGGCCGCTTCTCAACACTTGTCTATTTCTCTTTACCCTTTTTCAGTCCAATTGAAAAAAGACTTGAACCTTTAAATTTGTTTGACTACGTCGTTGTTGGCGGTGGAACTGCGGGTAGGAGTGTCAACACTTTATGTATTGTGGTACACAAATATTGTTCTGGAAATTTCCAGAACGCTTTTTCCAGAACGCCAGAAGTTTTTTTGTTTGGTGTGTTCTGGCGTTCTGGTGTTCTGCAACTTTGAATGCCCCACACTCCAGAATTCCAGAAGCCCGACTACACCATGAACCAAACCACCACCTACTCCGCTGGCACTCCCCTCATCCCCTAGGACACCAAATCTCATCCCTCTCCCATCTCAGCACTTCCATTCTCACTTCTCGATTATGGCTCAAAAAAACCCAACCTCAACTTGAAAGATTCATGTATGTATAATATTACATACTTTCTCAAAGGCAGATGGGGAAGATTGGCCTGCCGAGTTGAAAGTTCAAAGCGATTGAAGAACTCTGAATGCCTGTTTCAATCGACAGGACATTTAAGGCCTCTTTGCACCAAACCCATCGCACAAACGACTGATGTTCATGAATCCGGGCAAGATACTACGCGGCAAGATGCTTTTTTCACTCAATCTATTGCGACTCAAAGTGTTTGAAATGGGCTTGGGAACAATAATCATTTTATCTTTCATCTTAGTGTCGCTGTTTCACTAGTTTTCAAGCTTTTGTGTTTTCTTTCTAGTTTCCTTCTATATAGCTTTCTAACTAACAAGTACAAAGAGTACAAATTGAGACTTAAGAAAGAATCTCAATATGATGATACCTGTATCGATCGATTTTTGTGCTTGAAAACCGGGAGAAAGTGGATGAAAATCATAAGAATAAAACGGCCTCTATGTATCGATTGGATTGCAGTGAAAGCTTTGCCTCTGAGTATTAATTGATTCACGGTGAATGACCCATATCAAGCCAATAAAAATTTCTCGATACCTGGAATGGGTTCCGTATAGAAGTTTGGTGATCTGAAGTTCAAATTGAAGGTCGATTAAAAGGCCTGAAGCGCAGATGGGTGAATTTGTAAAGTGAACGGCGTGATAACTTGATCTTCTTGGGTTGGCTTGAGGTAGTCGTTGCTGATCACTTGATCCATGTTTGTTAGGTGATGCATGTGGGGAATGAATGGCTGCAGCAGAAAGTTTATGTGTGTATTTGTGTTTTTTCCAGAACGCCAGAACGCTTCCCGAAGGGTTCTGGAGTTCTGGAAAAAACCTTCTGGAAATTGCCAGAACGATATTTGTGTACCATAATTGAAGATCAAACCTCAAGGTGAATGCAATGATAGTCATGCTCAGCAGATCACCAACTTGATCATCAAAATTTCAAAATAATCCAAACCGTATTGTTAAGTATGGTATCTTCCAAGTGATACCAGGTGATACCGTCACCTCCGGAAGCTTAACTGGAAAATGCCATGCGAAGTGGAATAAAATGATGCATACACATTGGCAAGTGGATTATTGCTCTGGGTGGTGTTGAATAGCATATGTGATTGATGGACATTCTAGAGAGGTGTTGAAGTGGAAAATCATGCGCATGGATAGTTGTGGATCATTCACAGGATTCATGATTGAAGATGATGGTGAGCTCGGTTTCCGGATGAAGATGCTTGTGTACTTTGTTGAGTCTTGTAAACGGAGTGCATTTGGGATTGGTTGTAATCAATGATTGTCTTGCCCGTTTGCTTTCTCCAGTGACCGGTGTATGTCCTATTTGTTGTGGGTCATAGCAGGGTTGAGGAGAGGGGTGGTGGGCATGAAAAATGTGGTGATGGGATTGCGCATGTCACGGCTGTGATTCACCGATTGATGTGGGATGCATTGCGGACACTTGGAATGTACAACTTCATGAGTGTTGGTGTCTCCATGTGTATCTGACAGGTTTTGGACTCTTGTCCAAAACTTGATTGGCTGAGAAAATGGGGGAGAGTTGCAGTATCAGACTTACTCTGAGACTACCTGAGTCTATCCCTGAGACATACAGGGATAGTATAAATATTTTCAAGCGGCGCCTGTTGTCCAAGACGGGTGTTTCTTTCTATTCCCTGACCTTCTTGGCCCTACCCAAGCCTGTACACAGGTCGTTTGTAAACAAAAACGATCGCCTCCAAATGAGCGATGGATCAGGATGGATCCATGTCTATGTATGTACATAGATCATAGATGACCTTGATCAATGAGAGCAAATTACCAGATCCACTGAGTCAAAAACGCGTCGGATATGATATGCCTATGATATTTGAAGGTAGAAGCAAACTACTTCAGTCCGATCAATCAATCAATCACTTTTTACAATCTCATTGATCCCATCAATCATGCTTTTCAAGATCATTGCGAGATCTATCCAGAACATACCTAGGATATGGGATAATCTTCATCTCGAAGATTTTATTAAGTTTTGTGTACTAGGTGGTGATGTGCTCTATTGTGCCGGTCGTGGTCTTGATTTATCGGTGGGCAATTCTTGGAAGCGGCAGTCTTCTATCAACGACAGGATATGAGGTGTTCAAAATCAAAATGGACATATTTGTGATGAAAAATTTCACAAGAGGCATTTTCTTTGTTGCAGGGAGCTGGTCAAGACCGAGCATTGGGATCAGATTTCTGATAAACTGTACGTATGAACCATACATTCCTACCAGTCGCCACCAATCTGTGCGTTAAGTGTACAACAAGCCACTTTATTTTTGTGAATTTTGGATAGTCTCAGAGATAGTCTCAGAGCGAGATAGTCTCAGAGTAAGACCGATACGGTTACGCTCCCGAAAATGGAGACTTTGGTGGATTTTGTCGAGTTTTGTTTTTGAACCGCTCCTGGGATTAATTGTTATGATTCTCACACATTCTCAGCTACATACGTGAGCATGCATGCATAATCTTACACAGATTTCCAGACACCATTTACATACTTATATCATTACTGAAGGATCATGGTTGCCAATTGGATGAGGGTTGAGAAGGACTTTGTGTATAGACTTAAATGTAGTCTACATGGCAATAGGAATATTGCTATCTGTTGGTATAGAGCAGAATGGTTTGTATGGACATAGAGGAGCTGATCTCTATGGGTATAGGAGGGTACTCTACCTATAGTTGTCTATGTGGGCACTACTTCTCTATGTCCCGGG